CGAGTGCTTGGGAGGAGCCAGCAGCCCCCCTGCAGCTGAGGGAGAGCTGTACCGAGGGGGCTGTAGTCGCTGCCGCCATCGGGAGAGGCAGAGCGGCCGGAGCTTGGATGCAACTGAGAAAAAGTCCCCAAGTGAACTTCTGGAGAGACTGAGTTCTCCAAAGGACGCGATGAAATGGATTCGCGTAGGAAGAGTATTAGCCTTCGTAACGCTGTCCCTCCTCAGCCGACGGAAAAGTAGTCAGGCTGGGGGTCATGAGCCAGCACAGTGTTTTATTCGGCTCTTGCAGCCTCGAGTCGTGTTGTTTTGTGAAGGAAACAGTAGGGAAGAAGTCCTGGAAGGCTGCAGTAGTGATCTAACGGGAACGCAAGTTTCCCCAAACTCAGCTTCAGAGCTGGCACGCTGCGTTAATAACGAGACTGATTTAAAACTGGTCGGATGAGACTGAGGCACATCTTGAATACAGATGCGCTTAAACTGGCTTAAGGTGCTGGAGTGATTTATTTTAATGCTCCATTAGGCTGAATTGGTCTGTGTGGTTTCTAAACCACTTGAAAATTGTATCTGCTAGGGTTTTGTCCCAGTCTGACTGGATGCGTTTTAATAACCGTGTTTTCTGCCTTAGAGTAAACAGCGCCTGATACAAGCGGGGCGTAGAGCCGCCCGGAGCGGCGCAGGCTGCAGCTCAGCTGAGCGGTGGTCCCTGCGGCAGGGTTTCCCCTCGAGCTTCTCCCACTGACTCCGCAGTTCAGACGCAGTTGGTATTGGCTGTTTCGAAACAGCTTTTAGGGCTTTTTTCATACCCCCCCGCAGCTGTGTTCTCTAGCATCTCTAGATGTCTGCCAGTGCCTATCGATTAGCTTCTCTTCCTATCACAACGTAGCTGCTGCTGAAGAGGAAAAGAACATGTCGCTATTCTGATTAGCTTCCAGACTCGAAGAGCCCAGTGGTCAGTGTCTAAACGCGGCGGGAACCTGCTAAATGTAGGAGTGGGGCGTTAGGCAGCTCTGTACAAGCCGCTTGGGTTTCAGCCCTAACGCACTGGTACGAGCAGGTCGTTTAAACGAGATGCCTTATCGCATCCTGGCTCGCTGCGGCCGCAGTTTAATTCTCAGCGCGCGCTGAGCTCGGCCTAAAGGTGGGGTGTTAGTTTTGCAGCTCCCATCAGTGCGTTCGTGCTCTCCAAAGATAGTCCCAAGGTGGCATCTGATACGATCGTTAGCAAAACAAGTGATCTGTTAATGTAAAGATCAAATGCTGTGTTCGTAAAAGATCTGACAAGCACCTAGTTGTTTTTCTTCCGAAGTGTTGCCCTCCGGAAACTTAATAATTATTTGGTTGTTGTGATGTGTGCCTTCCTACACTCACCACAGAATCTGCACAGCGAATGCATTTAAAGTGCGAGCGGTGTATCCTGTCCAAACCCAGGGTTATGTAACCTTTTCCAGTCATTACTTCGATGGCTTTTGGTCTAGAATGTGCTTTGCTGTAGTTTGTAAATGTTCTCACCGTGTCAGAGTGAGCACCCATCAATAGAATTTAAGTGTGAATGTTTGGTTTTAGGCACACGAAGCCTCACATCACCAACAGCAGGCAGCACAGAACAGTTTGTTGCCTCTCCTGAGCTCTGCTGTTGAGCCACCTGATCAGAAGCCGATTCTGCCCTTACCAATAACGCAGAAACCTCAGCCTGCACCAGAAACATTAAAGGATGCTATTGTTGGGATTAAAAAGGAAAAACCTAAAACCTCCTTTGTGTGCACTTACTGCAGCAAAGCTTTCAGGGACAGCTACCATTTGAGGCGTCACGAGTCCTGCCACACAGGGATAAAGTTAGTGTCACGGCCAAAGAAAACTCCCACCACAATGGTGCCCCTTATCTCGACCATCGCTGGTGACAACAGCCGAAGTTCGCTGGTTTCGACTATCGCAGGCATCCTGTCCACAGTCACTACGTCTTCCTCCGCCACCAACCCCAGCAGTAGTGCCAGCGCAACAGCCATGGCAGTGACTCAGACGGTGAAGAAGCCCAGCAAGCCCGTGAAGAAGAACCACGCTTGTGAGATGTGCGGAAAGGCCTTCAGGGACGTCTACCACCTCAACCGGCACAAGCTGTCCCACTCGGATGAAAAGCCCTTTGAATGTCCAATTTGCAATCAGCGCTTCAAGAGAAAGGATCGCATGACCTACCACGTGAGGTCTCACGAAGGTGGCATCACGAAACCATACACCTGTGGTGTTTGTGGAAAAGGCTTCTCGAGGTACCATGTAGAAAATCCCAGGCGAGCTCAAGTGTTGGCTTTTCATAACCAAGAAGGGTTAAGCTATCATAGCGAGGGGCTAGGAGAACCAGACATCTTAGAAGATTGGTGAGGGGATAAAGAGCCTTATTTACCTCTAGGGCGTGGGTCTCGGTCTGAGCCAGCTTGGCAGTGGCCAAAAGCGGTCGCTCTTTTATGAGAGTGTTTTGAAATGATTTTTGCGACCTCATCCAGGTCCCGTAGGACACGTGTCCGTGTCACTGGTGGTGACCACAGAGCCCCTTTACCAGGTCGATGACCGAATGGGGCACGGCAGGCGAACGGCCTCCTTGTCTCGTAGCAAGGTTGAGGCGTACTGACAGAGCACTGTGGGGGAGCTTGCATTGCTGCTGGCTGTATTTGTATCTGTGCTTGCAACAGAGAAAACTTCAACCTTTAGAGCTGTTGATCTGTCACCTTCACACGGGGTACGACCGACCGTACCGTTTTCAGGTGTGGAAGAAGAGCACGGTTAAGTTTTAAACTGCAGGTTGGGTCTCAGCGTAACTACGTGTTACTCTAGCTGAAAGCCACTGCGTAGGTAAGGGGGATGTATTTATCCTTGCCGTGCAGAGGGAGGTGGGCTGCGAGGGGTCATCAGCGCAGTGTTCAGCACCGCTAGCCGAGGTGTCCTTACTATGTATTTGTAACAGTGTGCGTTTTCTTTTCTCTTCCTCTCTTTTTGCAGGCCTGATCATTTAAGCTGTCACGTTAAACATGTTCACTCAACAGAGAGACCCTTCAAATGCCAAGTAAGGGCTAAAATGATTTATTAAGAATAATTGTGTCGTTAGAATCCCAGGTGAATAATCTTTCCAGAGCTGTATTTGCTCCTGGACTTCTCTTTGAAAAGCAAATTTAGGAATAAAGTTGCATCCGCCTTACCTACCAGCAGCGCTGGAGTTCTGATGTAAGTGCAGAGGCAGTTTAAAAGGATGCTATGGCTACTTTTTTGGGGGAAGATCAGAGGCTTTTTGCTTTCTTGGGGAGCAATGTAGCTGCTCTGTTTTACGGTATGTTTAACTTAGTAGCAGGATTGTAACAGCATCCTCAGCTCGGTGTGATTACTGGAGGAGTGTGTGCGGTGTGTTTCTCAGCGTATTTAAATATGTTCCCAGTGTATCCGTTTAAAATGGATTGGAATAGTTGATTCTGGGTCCGTTAGTTTGCTGGAAGGTGAAAGCAAGTTGTCTTAAGCTGATGGCTGAGTGTAAGAGAAATAACTTGACAGCCTTTGAACAATTAACTGTTTTGCTTGGAATATCCATGCTTGTTCCAACCCGTGTTTTAGTGACTCATCGTATTAAATAAAAGTCTTGTGTAAAAAGAATAGCGTTAGAAAAAGGTTTCGTTTCCTTGTTCTGATTTGGATGGGAACAGAAGTAATTGAGCAGTTTAAGATACCGAGTTCGTGTTGGTACAGTGAAACTGTATCAAAAAACAACTTTGCCTGTTCTAGGCTTTTTTTTTATAAGCTACCTCTTGCTTTGGTAGGTAAGGCAACCTGCTATTTTAAGAAGGTTCAGGTAGTATAGAGTATGATTTTTGTCCTAATTGTCTCAGAAGCCAACTTCTATTTTCAGCCTTTGTTTAGTAGTTTGATTTTGATTTCTCTGTAAATACAGGTAAAACTGAAAGGTTGTCAATATACTTAGGCTACTGTTTGCACCTACAAGGAAAATCAGGCTTACAGTGGGCATGTAACTGGTACTGTAATGATGCTGTCTGCACTTCAAGTGTAACTGTTGTCCTTCATATAGACGTGCACTGCTGCCTTTGCCACCAAAGACAGACTGCGGACACACATGGTGCGCCATGAAGGAAAGGTATCGTGTAATATCTGTGGTAAACTTCTGAGTGCAGCATATATCACCAGCCACTTAAAGACACACGGGCAGAGCCAAAGTATCAACTGTAATACCTGTAAACAAGGCATCAATAAAAGTAGGTGAACGTTTTAAAAACATTTCTCATAACAATGTGTTTGCAAAGGGAATTGCCTTTGATTACATTAAAATGCGAAACCATACCCACCAGTCTGGGTATTCACGCCTCTTAAAAATAGATACTTGATAACGGAATCTCCTTCAGCTCAAGAATTGGCATACGTGGAATTGGTTTGCTGCTAGACTGTGCTCTTATCCCTCAGGAGTGCCCTGCAGTTTGTGAGAATAACCCATCTCTTGAAGAAAAGGGTTCCCAAGTTTTCTCATCTTCTAAGTCTAGTGCTCCTTCCTGAACTGTACAGGTCTAAAAGTCCAACGGATAATTCTGGAGATTTTAGAACGTTTAAGAACTGCTAAGGTCTGCCAAGTTTCAGGTTTGAAGCCTCACCTAAAGCTTATCAAAATTAGGAGAAAGAGTTCTCTGCTTTTTCTGAGCTTTGACCTTGGGGCTCAATGATTCCTCCCTCTGGCAGTAGCCGACAAGAAAAGCATTTAAATCCAGCCCTGATATGTTTTGGGCATTAATGGCATTTGACTGGTGGTGTGCCGGAGTTCAAATGAGATGGTTGTCATAGTTCCTTCTAGTGTTAAACTCTGTGGAAGTGCTGAAGCCTGAACCTGGGAGTGCCTAGTAAGCGAACCAAGACTTGACTTTCCAATTTTCCCTGTTAAAATACCTGTAACTTAAGTTCACCCATATGGTTAGTGATATAAAATGGGGTTTCAGAGGAATGAAGGGGGAGAAGTAGGGAACGAATGTCTTTGGAAACTTTGTCCTTAAAGCCTTTTAAATGGTATTAATTTACAACGTCTTTTCAGTTCCTGTTACTCCCGGATAATTGGAAGGTACCGGGAATGTCTAAAATGCCTGATTGTTGAGCTTAATAGGAAATTTGGATGGGAAGTATTTTTCAAGGTGTAGTGTTACAGCTCTGGCTTCCCCAGCCGGTTTGGTGGTGCTAAGCCAGTTCACATGAGGCATTTACAGCAGTTGTTAGAGGTGGAAATGATGAGCTGTAATGTGGCCAGAGAGTAGTAACAAGCTGTTCTGTGATGGGAAGGTAAACTGAAAATTTGAAGTCATACTTGCAACAAAAAGTAAAAAGGCTTTTTTTAAAAAAAAACAACCAAACAAACAACAAAACAACTGGGGCTGAAGTTTAGGAAAAGTGGGCTGAGCTGACCAGCTTGAATCCTAGATACTCATTGTAGTCTTTTATTTCATTCTTCCTAAAATACAAACAGCATAATCAGAAAGGAAGTTCATTTTTGGCAGTGAAAGCAGATGTTCCTGACTTACATTTTGCTTTTTAGCTCTTGGAAAAGTAGTTTTACAAAGCACAGAATTAATTATCTGGTTTTAAACACCTCTGTGATTTTTTGCTCTTGGAATCCTGTGAGATTCCACACGCTCTTTATGGAAGAAGCCTTTGTGATCTCAGCAGAAAGCAGAGTAACTTTTCAAGGTGAATTTGTGTTCTTACTTGGTTGGCATAGCATGCATGAGTGAAGAGACCAGCAATCAGAAGCAGCAACAGCAGCAGCAGCAACAACAACAACAACAGCAGCAGCAGCAACAGCAGCAGCAGCAGCAGCAGCAGCAGCATGTAACAAGTTGGCCTGGAAAGCAGGTAGAGACCCTGAGATTGTGGGAAGAGGCCGTCAAAGCAAGGAAGAAAGGTAAAACAAAACAATAGTTATGGTCTTGGCTTTATAAGATAATGGAGCTTACAGTTACGTAGGCAGTTTAAGGTGCCAGAAGAGGATGTCTTAGATGAGAATGTCGTTCTCGGTGTTAGAAGTAATAAGTAAAAATTAGCAGGAGGATAACATGACCAAAATTAGGCTGTTGTGAATGAACTCCTTATTGCTTGCTTCCCTTTGGTCTCTGTGCTTGAACGTGTACGTAGCAGTCATCAATTACAAAGGGATGTTTGTGTCTGCTCCAGGCAAGAGTGTGTTTTTTTTGACTTGCATGTGGTTTTTAGCTGTGTTTACGCATATTTACCAGTTGTTAGCTTGTGTGCATATATACACGTATATATACACACACACACAACACCCTCTGTTGTTGCATCATCGTCAGTTTGCATGTGGGTACTTTCTGTGTCCCTTTCATCTTTTCTCTCCCAAGTTAGTCCATTCGCTTTATCATCACGTAACTGGCTTCGCCTAAAGTTTTCTGGAACTCTTAGAACTCACTCTTCTACCTTTTTGTCGCTTCTTTTTCGTTACAAAATTAACTAATAAGTGACCGTGTGTTTCGTTATTGCTAGCTCACCGCTTACGTACGCCTGTGCTGCTGTAATCCAAGTTGAATAGCTGCCTGTTGTTGGTCAGCGTGTCAGTTTGGGAGAGAATAGATCGCTTCAGTGTAGCGGCGGCAGGAGCACAGCAGTTTAAAGTCTCCCGTTACTGCTGGCTTATTCTTTCCACTCCAGTTTGATTTCTAATGCCGATCATGTGACTCTCCTGGATTACGTGTTTTAGTATAAATTCTTGGTGACCACTTACTGTTTCTCACTAGCTGGTTTTAGTAATATTTTAGTAATAAATGTTTTTTGACTCACCATATTTTTTTTCTTTCCCCCTAAACTTCCTTTCAGTTTCTTCAATCTTTTTTTCTTTTCTAGGTCTTGGTTATGTATTAGGCTGATAGCTCCTTTCGCCTTGATTGTTATTCCAGTTGAATTGAATTCTGTGGTCAGACAGTATAGAAACGGCTTATTCGTGTTAAAATGTAGCGATAACAGAAACGTTAAATACCATCAGGCCACTAAACAGATAATGCAAAGAGGTGTCAGATTTAGAAAATCTCTGAGAATTCTTTTTCTGCTTGCTCCTTCCTATGTCTTCTTCCCTCCTCCCTTCCTTTCGTACTGAGACCGTTGAATATGCTTTAACAGAAAGAGTGCTTTGGGACAGAACGGTGGGCGAGGGAGGTGGGTGGGCAGGAGCGTTGTCAGATGGATGATATTAGCTTAACTTAATTGGGGAAGGGGCACGGGGTGGGATGTGTCTTTGCCTGTTACTGTGCTTGGAGGGTGAAGCTAGCCCAGTCAGTGCCATGCCTACGCGCTGCTCTTTCCATGCTGGTTCTCCTGTGTTGGTGCCACCTGTTGCGTTGGCTTTACAACGCTATACGGGAATTTTTTAGTCTTGATATGATTTATTTTCA